CTTGATTTAAATTAATTCTAAACCATACTTGGCTCAATCCCCCACCTACTTGGGTCTAATTGACCATGTTGATTGGGTCAACCCATGCTTTGGTCAACCCTCGCCTTGTATGGTCAAATTTGACCTAGTTAGGTCAAATTCACCCTATTTATTGCAATTTAAACCTTCACAATCTTCCATTGGCTCAAATCCCATCCAAGGAGGCTCTTTTCCCTCCTAATTAATCCTAGGATTGATCTAGGCCGTCCATCATGAGCTTAGGTCTATAAATAGGCTTGTTAGGGCATCTTGAAAAGGACTTTTGCTTTTGCTCTCACCTTAGACTCTCCCAAGCCGAGATTTCTCATGTGTGAGCTCCCTTAGTCTCCTTCCATCTTTCCCAAGCCAAACCCACCGTCAAAGCCTCTCACCGGCGGCGAGATATCTGGCGAACAGAGGCTTAAAATCTTCCAAAGCAAATTCCCGGCGATCCACTGCATTTCAAAACACGGTTTCTTCTACAAATAGGAGCGTGGACAGTCTATAAGTGCAGCAAGCCCAAAATCTCTCGAATCCATCCATTGGATTAAGTAAAATCGCAAACCCTAGTCTAGGACACTTAGATCTAAATAACTTTTCATACATCGTGTTTTAGACCACGATTTTGGTCCCCCATGAATGCTCTTCATGACTATTATCTGTCTTTAAAATTTTGTTAAATTTCATTCTATGGATCGAGAGAATGAAGCGATTATTGTTTTAGGGCTTTAGAGCTAAGCATGCATGAGCTGCCCGCCTTTTGGGCTATTGATCCTCAGATCAACGGCTCGGATCGAGCAGCACTGTGGTTCTATGCAACCGCGCGGTCCTCTTGACCACTTAGATCTCGGTTCGCCGAGATCGCAACCGTCCATTCGGGTTAGCGGAAGATCGGACGGCCGAGGCTTCGAGATGATGCAGATAAGTGGAAAGCGCGTGGGGTCCGCAGTCCTTCCAATCATGAGGCGATGATTGCGTGGCGGCGCAATCATTGCCAATGATTGGTTAGCCGCTGCGCGGTTTGAACGGGCCAATCAAAAGCTACCATGTGGCCTAGCCGCCGAATTAACTTAGTGACATTTTAAACACCATGGAATTTTTAGGGTCTTTTAAGTCATTTAATTAAGAAATCCTAATTCACCCTTTAATTGAGCCCCAATAACTTCAAAAAATTCTAATAAATTCAAATTAAATCAAAAAATTGTGAATAATATACAAACTCTTTAGAAATTTACCCTTAATCTCAGAAAATTAAAAGCCCCTTGATTGGACTTCAATTTGATCATTAATTTAATTTAGATTAAAAATCATCCTTTTAATTAAATTGAATAATTAAAAATTATTAAGAATTCCAAATTTTTGTCTAACACTTAGGAACTCTTCCTTGGGTCACTCCTGACCTTTGGAGTTGATTCCAAGTGTTTTTGAAGCTGATTTGGATCAAAATTCCTAAAATGCTCTAATTAGACAATTTTAATAATTCATTAAATGCCCAGAATCATAATTAATCCTAGAAAATCCAAATTGGATAAATTAAAAGGCATTCAACTCTAATTAAAATCTAGTATTTATTAAAAATATGAATTTTCCAGAAATCAACTTAAATTAAAAAGTCAACTCTTCGGTCAATAGCAGTTCGATAATTGGGGTCTTAAACTTCTAAAAATCATAACTTTGCATAAAAAACTCAAATGCAGCAAACTCAAAGTCTAATTACTCTCCTTAAGGTCTAATATTTAATAAAAATACTAGAACCCTAAAATCTAATCTGTTTATAAAAGTCACCTTTAAACCCTTGTGACCTAGTGGATAGGATGACCCCAGACCTTCTAAAATACGTTAATTCAACTTAAACTTCAAAAAATATTATCCTAAGCATTAAAATTGACCAACAAACTAAATCAATTAAAATTGACCCCAAGATATTAATATTTGAACTTTAATCAAAAGTTCTCCTTTGACCCTTTAACAAAACGGAACAAAGACAACTTGAACTAATTATTCAATATATGACATATCCACAGCCACATGGCCTATTGCACACACATAGAATTGCTTGTTATGGCACTATTTCTAGCTCTAAGTTAGGTCGATGTTTTTCTTTTTTGCTTCTATGATGTGACGCTCTGCATGTGGCAAGTGTGCTGGTTGTTTTGATTTGCTATGATTGTTATTATGATAATGAACTTTATTTTTATATTTTTTTTATGATGTGATGTGCGGTAGATTACCCATAGGTTAGGGGCGATCTTGATACTAATGATATCTTCTGCAGGTGGCAATGCTCATGCAGCACTAATAAAGGGGGCTAAAATAATAAATAAATTATATATATGCTTACTACATGTGCTTCAATCATTTAGCTCCTAAATAAATAAGAGCATGACCAAGTGTCGCTTGCATGATTACTTTTATTTAATATATAACTGCTTAGGATATTTTGTTTTCTTTAACTACTTAGGATAACCCTGCATGAGAGTATAACTCTTTTTTTTTTATGATGTAATGTATTTGATGTATCGAGTTGTGAAAGTTCATAAAAATAATGCATTTCAAATATCAGGGATCTAAAGGAAAAAAAGAAAGTCCCTTCACAGGAAATTTCTTTTTCATTTGGGTATCTTTCTGAAAGACGAACCCTAAAGAAGAATGAAGGAAGACAATCCATAAAAGGACTTAAATATAAAGATGAAGATAAAATGTCTTGTTTTTAAGACTTGCATCATTCAGTAGGATTAAAATCCAGGTTGTTGTCGGTGAGACCTGACTACTATTACTTTTCTGCAGATCCTGAGTTGTACTTATATGGCACTTGTCATGGACTTTTTTCTGACTTTTTCTTACTATGGTGGATATTTATATTGATGTGTTTACTTTGTTTTGCGCCGTAGAAATTGTCTGCTTTTCTTAGGTTTCTTTCTTATATATGTGTGTTTTGATTTTGCTAGGCTCTATAGGCATAAAATTTTTTCTACTCATAATTAAAATTTAAGATTTTAAGACTTAAATAATATAAAAAACTAATGATCTAAGGAATAGCCAGAATCGTTCGGGGTCACATGCATATTAATGCATCTTCTCTCTCCTTATTTTAAGACACTTCCTCGCACGTAAGTAGAGTTCAGATAATCCAACCTATGAGGATGAGGTACTGGACCTGGGGAAGTCTAGTTTTTTCTAAAAAATATATTTTATAAGTCTTTTTTAAATTTCATACATTCCTAATTTAGAGATTTTAACTAGCATACATCACATTAAAAATCAATTATATCAAAATTTAGTTGCATTAGCTCTAGGAGCATACTATCTTACATAAGTACAAGGCCACTAATGAATCTCTCTGGATGTTTGCCTTACTTCCCAAAAAATTTAGCCACCCACCCATCTTTCATGAAGACCGAACAACATGGATTTTATATGACTAGGTGGTTAGCTGGCTTTCGTTTTTAGGCAATATATAAGTTCAGAATGCATTAGCTAGGACACGGGTGTTAGTGTTGTGTGTAGAACACTAAACCCACTTTAGATTTAGGGTTCAAAGCTACTACTATCAGTGTCTCGTAATATGCCTCATTGGTGGATAAGTCCTCTATCCTTCAGAGGCTATA